CTATGCACTAAATATTCAGTTCCCTCTTCTTCGCACACATAACACATACTCAGTACTTCAACACGGAATGGCCTAAAGCCCATCCAGTCAGTGCCTGAATTTCAAAGTCCAGCACATCTAGATGAAGTTCAAGCTCCTATGTGACTTCTCCGAGTTTGGAGACCAATGAATTTAAAAGCCAAATTACCTACTCCTACACACACACACACACACACACACACACACACACACACACTCAATCCACAAAGGTGTGACAGGGTCAGGATAATTACAATAATACACTCACTTTAAGAAAGAAGACAAATGGGACATAATCAGCAGTTCATATAAATCCCAAGGTCCTGCTGAGCACACAGTAAAGGCTCCCTACCAGTGTGTGACTCTAGTCTCCTTGTGACAAGTTCTTTTTTATTTCCATTCCCTTCTTTGACTGTATTTGAAAATCGGTCTCCTCAGGGCTGCACAGCTTCCTTGGCCCCCTTGCTCACATGAGGTTGTGTCCCCAAAGGCCATTGTCAGCTTCATACAAACGCATCGTTAGTCCAGGCTTGTGGTTCCTTTGGCAGTACATTTCTCTCAAATACTTAAGAGGCTTCCTCTCTATTTGTTTCTAGTCAGTTCCATGTGTCAGTAACCACACCCACACTTTAAAATACCTAGTTCTCACATCTCTAGCAGCTCTTTGTTTTCTCGACCCCTGTCTTTTTTCTACCAATTTGGTGGCTACCTGAAGCTTATCTATAATAACAGGTGGAAAGACCCCACTTTTAAAACTCTCTACCTTGGGGCACCTGGGTGGCTCAGTTGGCTAAGCATCCGACTCTTGGTTTTGGCTCAGGTCATGATCTCACGGTTTGTGAGTTCAAGCCCCCTCATTGGTCTCCATGCTGACAATGCAGAACCTGCTTGAGATTCTCTCTCTTCCTCTCTCTGTCCCTCCCTGGCTCATTCTTTTGTCTCTCTCTCTCTAAAATAAATAAATAAACTTAAAAATTAAAAACAAAAATCTCTGCCTTAAGTACAGTACTCAACTGAAATGTTTTGTTGAATGGAAACTTCCTTTGTGTTCCATTTGGGTCTAGAAGCAGTTGGCTTTTCCATTGCTATATGAGTCCATATTTCTAGATCCCCTGTATTTGTTCTAATTTCTGCTTGTGAGTCAGCCAATTCTTCCCTGGATTCATCTTTATTTTTGTAGTCCCTTGCCAAGCACAGCCAATGGCAGTTAGCAGACATTGCTATAGTTCTTTTTTCGCCTCTTACCTAGGAGCTAACTTTACTTGAGCATATGCTCTGCTTTCCAAGTTCTGATGTACAATAGTTTCAGCAAATGTCTTAACACTATATGACACACATTTTCCTCTGTTTCCACCTGGGTCATTTTTCTCACTTTCTGTCATTGCCTATATAGTACACATCAAGTCTTGTGTTATAGTAGAGCCCCATTTCTAATATGACTTTTTCTATTCATGAGAATGGTTGAGGTTACACAGATATGACAAATTAGCCACAGAACATGAGTGGCTTATCATAACACAGGTCAATTTCTTATTCATATAAATGTGCAAGTTATGAGGAAACTGTCCTCCATAAGTCATTCAGGGACTCGGGCTATTGGAGGCCACACTGTCTTTAGCTCTGCCATCTCAACCTTTGGCTCCCAATTGTTGCCAGGTCAAGAGGAACTTATAATCACATTTAAATACCTCAGACTTGAAGTGACACATGTCACTTCCTCTCACAACTACAGTCCACAAACACCTGTCCTGCCCTAATGGCAAAGGAAACAGAAATCTTTACATGAAGAAGGAACGGAATAAGAGGAAAATTAAGTTTTGTGGTCTCTAATTGTTTCTCTTTGTATTTTTAATGTTCAGATAAATGGAAACATAGGTAAGCCACAGTAACATTATTTGATCACCGTGATGGAGAAACATTTGTCAAACAAATATTAGATCATTTCATAAGTATAATTGGGAAGCACAAGTTTGATCCATTTCCTCACATATAAAAATACCTAGTGACTAATAGGTATAAAAGAAAGCTACATAGCAATCAAATTGGCCCTTAAATAAAAAAAAATGCTCCCTCAGAACTAGTTATATGACATGGAAAACAGATTGAACAAAAACAGTCACTAGCAGGAAATAGTAGGAAGTGGAGCAGCAAAAAAAAAAAATGGATAAAAATAAATGAATGAAAAGAAGAAAAGAAAGAATAAAGCCACATAAAAGAAAAGATTTTAAATGTTGTCAGATATAAGGAATTATTTTGAATAAAGTTAGGAGTCTATATAAAACATTGCTTTACAACTTCAAAATTTTATAATAGCTAGGATATCAAGGTTCAGTACAAATAGAAGGGTCCTAGATGATTCTCAGAAATGGATATTCCTTAACACCTAGGTCAAGAATGAGGGTTGTGAACATATTGGTGAGAGAGTGATGAGTCAGATAAAAACTGGCCCACACACAATCATGATAAAAAGGGCGACAGCAGCCCTTCTAAGTTAATGAACAGCCTATGTATCATTCTGGCACACCTGGTTCAGGGGGTTTGAGAGAAGAAGGGAACAGGAATTCCTTAGAGGAGGAAATCCAGCAAGAAAGCCACTTGAAATAAAATATTTTCAAGAATTATTTCAAACAAGAGTTAAAATCTTTGCCAAAGAAATAGCTTGTTCAAATTGATAAAAGCGTTTCTTAAAAACTGGACTGCTAAAATGTGAGAAGAGAAAAATTTTCTGCAGAAAATCAGAAAGTAAATATTCTAGGCTTTGATGTCCATACAATCTCTGTCATAGCTACTCACCCCTGATGTTAGAGCAAGAAAAAAACACAGACGATAGGATACATAAATGATGGCCCTGGTTATGTCTCTATGAAACTTTATTTGCAAAAATAGATAGCAGCCTATCTGAATCAGCCTACAGCCCATAGTTTGCCAACTTTTGCTCTCAGAGAGAAAATGGCAAGTAATTCTAACAAAATTTTAAAGTAAACTGGTGAGAACAAAACAATGATCAACCATACTGACAGCTCAAGACATGCAAAAGAAAACAATGAAATTTTCCTTTTCCCTAAAGCATTACAAAATACCATGATACATGACTAAAGGGGGGTAGAGCATATTGACATAAGGTTTGCAAAATTTCTAAAGATCAAATGCATATATATGTGTATACGTATAGACACACACATATATCTTACACACACACACACACACACACACACACATATAGACACACGTATACAAAAACATAGAATTAGAATTTGGAAATCTTGCTAAGGATGCATAGTATTTAGTTTGAATTTTAGAATTTTAATTAGTACAAAAGCTATTCAGAGATGAATCAGGAAGGAGACAATACTTCTTGGTGGTCATAGTAATGATTTATTTGGTTATATATATATATATATATATGCACTTCCCTACCCCATTATTTTTGGAGAACAAAAATAGGGAAGAAGTGGGAAAAGTCATGCAATCTCTCTGTAGGTACTAGGAGTTCTTAACACTGGGAACATGAGGTCTCCTACTCAGTCTCCTCTTTATTGCCTTCCTTCATCCCATGGACTGAGAAGCTTCTAGAGGAATCAAATTAAGCAATAGCAAAAAGCATGTACTTTTAGCCTTAGGAATGTCCATCCCATATTAGGAGTCCTACTATCCTCAACTATCCTGAGTCCAACAATTCTTGTATAAAAATATTTTCCTAGTACCTGTGAACTGTAAGCAGAATAATTAGAAAGTTCTGTGGGCACTAAAAAAAAATGAATATTTCATTAAGGAGTAAAATTCATTTCTGATACATTCTCAACTATTATAAAAAACTGATAAAGGTTTGTAAAGAGTATCATAGCAAATAAATCTTTTTCCTTTTGAAATTATCTTTCTTTTTTCCCTGATCACAAAAGCAACCATGCATCACTATCAAATGTCACAAAGAAAGAACTTAAAAGAAACAGTTACCCGTGATGCCAGTACTTGGAGACAACCACTGTCGGTAGTGTGAAGTATGTTCTCCCACGTTTTTATATTCATACATATGTGTGTATTTACGAACCTAAGATCTGCTAAACAAACTATTCTTTGATTTTCTCTGTTTAGTTTAAAAATATGAACAATTTTAATGTACACAAGGAAAAACGGGTTCCTTCTCTTTTAACCACATTGCATTGCACTGAAAGTATGCACCATAAATTATTTATGTCATCTTCTACTGATGGACATCTCGGCTGCAAAATTATTTTCCCTATTTTACACTGTAACATGAACATTTCAGTACACTTATTTGAGTGAGCTTACCCTCTTATATCCCTTAGGGTAAATTCATAGAAATGCAATTTTCTATGTTGAAGAGTATCTAAATTTAATGTTTTGCATTATATTAATAAATTACCTTCTAGAAGAGTTGTAACAATTTCTCTCTCCCTAAGTTTCCAATATGAGTGTGTTTGAATAAATTATGGTATTTTCACAGACTAAAATACTATGTTTCAAAAATTAATGACATGGCAAGCCACACATAGGATTATATCAGGTAAAACAAGATACAAGACATAATAAAGTACACCATTGATATATCACTATATAAATTGATATATATATATATATATATATACACACACACACACACGGAGAGGAATATATATATATTATATAACGTGTGTGTGTGTGTGTGTGTGTGTGTGTGCGCGCGCGCGAGCGCGCTCCAAGGAGCATCAAAACATAGGGAAAGGACTGGAGCAAATTTTTAACTGATATCTTATGTTCTTCTACATTTGTTAAATTTCCTAGAATTTGTGCATATTTTAGTTGTAATCTGAAAACCAGTATGTTAAAGAAATATTGGAAATCACAAAGCTGAAGAAATGTGTTTTCACATATTTTGTAGTTTACCTGCTATTAGACATACAATTATAAAACAAAACACCTCTAATGTGCCACAATCAGGAATATTTAAACGTGCTAAACTAAATTGCTTTTTCTCAACAAAGGACTTGTTTTAATTCGTGAAATGTCTTCATGCCTAATAGCAAGCAGAAGAAAACCTTGCTCTCCTCCACTGAGAAGACAAGTTAAGAGCAAAACGGTGAGCCCCTGAAAACAGAGAAGAAACTAGCTCCTAAGAGCTAGCTCTTACCCTGGCTGCAGGCATTTTGGAAAGCTTTTTGGAAGGGAACAAATCATTAATAAAGACTCAATACTTACAGTGACCTTTGAGCAATTCCAGATGTAGACATGCAGATTTTTCCACAAATAATAAAGAAGGGCTGGCTACAAGAAGTGACAGTCCGGAACAGATCTGCAGGAGACTAGAATTACATGGGACACAGAAAAGAGACTGAGCAGAAATGAAACAACACAAAAAGGATCCAGATCCTTCACTAAACAACCAGAGATTTATTCTCTTACATGATTTTTTTTACCAATTTTTTCCTGAGTGAACAGGAAATGCATGTTATTTTATATTTTCTGGATATGATTATGGCTTTATCAGTCTTTATGATGCTCTTCTTCTCCATCCTAACACTATGCTAAGTTTTTATACAGAGTGACTCATTGAATCCTCATATAAACCCAACTTGGTAAAGACTATTATTCACATTTTATAATTAGAAAAGGGAGGCACAGAAATTTAGGTAGCTTAGCCAAGATCATGCATCTAGAACAGAGGTCGACACACTTCTTAAAGGGCTAGCGAGTAAATATCAGATGTGCTGCCAGAAGGTCTCGGTCACAACCATTCCACTGTGCTGCATCGTGCAAAAGCATGCAGAGACAATACTCAAACCAGTGAACGTGGCAGTGTTACCCAAACAGGTGGCAGGTTCACTGGCCATGGTTTGCCAACCCTTGACCTACCTACAAAGTAGGAAAGCAAGATTCAAACTTAAGTCTATGCCTTTAATAATTAAACTGTCATACAATAGGGGAAATGCAATAATTGTGGTTCTCCTTCCATAGTCTGGGCTCACTCATTCTCAAATATTCTTTTGGGTCTCTATACAGTCTAGTTCTAAAGAAACTTACCAGTTAATGTGAATTGTCACTTACAGTGATTTGGTGGGCAAACGGTTATGGATTCCTAGGGGGCATAAATAAGGTAGGTAACTTTTCTAACAGAATGGGATTTAGCCCCTTCTTGTCAGGATAGATGTGCAGACCTGAAATTTAGAAGGCAATACTCAGCCTTCCAAAATGGAGAGAGAAGGAAGGAGATGATATTGGGCCCATTTTTAATTTAGAAATATTTAGTTTAACAAGTCCTATGATCTCAATATTTTTCCTTAATTTCCAAATTATTGTCACTTGGTGAATTTGTCTCATAAGTATAAAAACATTGGGCAATATGGCTGTACTCATTTTAAATTGCCTAAAATTCAAAGTTGTGAGAAAAAAATATTTCAACAATATTTAGTTTTCCTTGAGTTCATGAAGTAGCATTGAAAAATAATCAACAAGTTGTGCCAGCTTTTGATTTTTTAATAGTAGGTCTTTAGCAGAATTTATTTGACAGCCACATTCATGAATATAGAATGAACCAAGGTTACATAAGACTGCTAAAATAATTGAGAAGTTACATGATCTATGGGCAGGAAAAAGAAGACTCAGAAATTTAAACTCAGTCTTTTTTTTTTATTATTTATATATGAAATTTATTGTCAAATTGGTTTCCATACAACACCCAGTGCTCATCCCAAATGGTGCCCTCCTCAATACCCATCACCCACCCTCTCCTCCCTCCCACCCCCCATCAACCCTTAGTTTGTTCTCAGTTCTCAACAGTCTCTTATGCTTTGGCTCTCTCCCACTCTAACTTTTTTTTTTTTTCCTTCCCCTCCCCCATGGGTTCCTGTTAAGTTTCTCAGGATCCACATAAGAGTGAAACCATATGGTATCTGTCTTTCTCTGTATGGCTTATTTCACTTAGCATCACACTCTCCAGTTCCATCCACGTTGCTACAAAAGGCCATATTTCATTTTTTCTCATTGCCACGTAGTATTCCATAGTGTATATAAACCACAATTTCTTTATCCATTCATCAGTGGATGGACATTTAGGCTCTTTCCATAATTTGGCTATTGTTGAGAGTGCTGCTATGAACATTGGGGTACAAGTGCCCCTATGCATCAGTACTCCTGTGTCCCTTGGATAAATTCCTAGCAGTGCTATTGCTGGGTCATAGGGTAGGTCTATTTTTAATTTTCTGAGGAACCTCCACACTGCTTTCCAGAGAGGCTGCACCAATTTGCATTCCCACCCACAGTGCAAGAGGGTTCCCGTTTCTCCACATCCTCTCCAGCATCTAGAGTCTCCTGATTTGTTCATTTTGGCCAGTCTGACTGGCGTGAGGTGATACCTGAGTGTGGTTTTGAGTTGTATTTCCCTGATAAGGAGCGACGCTGAACATCTTTTCATGTGCCTGTTGGCCATCCGGATGTCTTCTTTAGAGAAGTGTCTATTCATGTTTTCTGCCCATTTCTTCACTGGGTTATTTGTTTTTCGGGTGTGGAGTTTGGTGAGCTCTTTATAGATTTTGGATACTAGCCCTTTGTCCGATATGTCATAAACCTTAGAGGAGAAAGCAGGAAAAGACCTCTCTGACCTCAGCCGTAGCAATCTCTTACTCGACACATCCCCAAAGGCAAGGGAATTAAAAGCAAAAGTGAATTACTGGGACCTTATGAAGATAAAAAGCTTCTGCACAGCAAAGGAAACAACCAACAAAACGAAAAGGCAACCAACGGAATGGGAAAAGATATTTGCAAATAAACTCAGTCTTAATGTTATTGTGGCCCAGTCAAATCACCTTGAGCCAATTCTCTCTAAATCTGAATCTTCCACAGGAAAATGGCATTAATATCACCTGCTAATGTACCAGGGCTATTGTGAAACTTATATGAAAAAATTCATGAAGTTACCTTGTAGATTTAAAACACTATATTCATTAAGGTAGGCTTCTAAGACTTACAACTTATTTTTACAAACAAAAATATCTTTTTTTTTCCTGTATCTTTTACAGACCTATAATTTTCACCAGAAACATAGAAAAGAGGACACCCAGAGTTCCAGATCTTTGCCAGCCCATCACTGTGAAAAAGCAAAGTCAACCCATAATCCTATTACCATTTCATTTTTCGAGACCTATAAAACTTTTTCCTTGCTATCAATAATCACCAACATTTCTAAATGCTCCATTTACTAGATTCCTAAACTTTTTCTAAGACTAAAGAGTAAATAACAGTAACATTTATAGAACAGAAGTCATTTAAGTAGTTTTCACAAACCAATTGACTAAAATTTTAGCTAGATTTCTAAGAAATATCATAAAGACACTGTAGCAGATTGTGTTATCTTCTGTAAATATTTGCAGCCCATCTCTTGGGAAAGATTATACTCCCTCACTTCACTGATGTCAATCTTGGTCATATAACTTGTGAAGAGTGAGCAGAAGTGGCATGTGCCACTTGCAAGTAGAAATTTAAGGGCCATTGCAGTTTGCCAGTTTCTTTTTACTTCTGTGCTAGACCAGAATATTCCAGATAAGGGCTCCATCAACCAGGGGTCCAGAGTGAATACAACATGGAGCAGCACTGGGACCAACTCAGGAGACTATGTAGAATAACTGAGAAGTAAACTTTTGTTCATGTTAGTCACTGATATTGTGGGTCACCTGTTACCACAGGATAACCTAGGCTATTGTCCTAAATGACTAATTAGAGGATGTAAAAATCCTGTTATATTCTGTGCCTGGACCTTTTAATTATAATGATATAAAGATGGCAGTAGCAAAAAATAACCTCATTTATTCAGAAAGAAGCATTTCAATGTTTCCTATAGGCTAATACAATTAAGACAGGATATAAGACTAAATTTTGTCTGCACTGAACAACAAAAGTGTTGCAAGGGATTCAGAATCCTAAAGAGTTTTTGAGTTATTTACAGGATACAAAAGCATGTAACCGGAAGATCACATCCAGAAATAATGTTGGCCATTATTTAGGGATTATCTTTAACCTGGGAAAATGGGGCACTCACCATGCTTTTTTCTTTTTCTCTTTTTTAGCCAAGAAACTTCAAAATTATTTTCAAGGAAAAAAGAAGTGACTTTCAAAATGCATTAGTAAAACTCCATAGATTTCCTAAATCCAAAGACTAATAATATATACAACATTTCCTTGCCTAAAAGCTATGTCCTGATATGACACAAGTCCTGTCAAGATTTCTGTTTTTAATAAAAAGTTAATCATGTTTAAACATAATATCTCTAATATCTGGCTCAACAAAAGAAACACACAATTTCAGGGATAACATTAGATATACTTTGCAATGTCAAGAAACTATCAACACAGTATCAAGGATACCCTGCCCTCTACTGTCAGTATTAAAATTTTGCATGTTTAACTAAATAGTAAATCACTGTATTTAAAATCGCTCCATACTGTGGTGTTTAAACATTGTTTCTATTCTAGGGGCGCCTGGGTGGCGCAGTCGGTTAAGCGTCCGACTTCAGCCAGGTCACGATCTCACGGTCCGTGGGTTCGAGACCCGCGTCGGGCTCTGGGCTGATGGCTCAGAGCCTGGAGCCTGTTTCCGATTCTGTGTCTCCCTCTCTCTCTGCCCCTCCCCCGTTCATGCTCTGTCTCTCTCTGTCCCAAAAATAAATAAAAAACGTTGGAAAAAATAAAAAAATAAACATTGTTTCTATTCTATTAGCTCTTTTCTTATACAATTTAACATGTATGTTCACTTAAACACTAACGCTAATTAATGTTTTCATACTGCTCCTCAGAAAAGGAACTCAGAATGCTTTAATGCTATTTAGTCATTTCTCAACTTGGAGTCTCTTGTTATTCCACATGAATTTCTCTTACTTTAACCCCATCAATTATAAAATGTAATTATTTCAGTATGGTAAATGTTTGCTTATCATCACACAGGTATTTTCTATTTTATTTAATCACGATTCCTCCTTGCATGTTAGACCTTCCTTCGAAATCACTTCGTATTTAATGCAGATCTGCTGATGTGAAAGGCTCTCCATTTTTATTTGCAGAAACCTCTGGTTTGTTCTTCTTATTTAAAGGTTCAGAAGTATACAATTCCAGGTAAACAATGATTTTCCCTGACTACTTGAAGATAATATCCTCCAGTCTTCTAGCTCCCTTTGTTGCTGTTGAAACCACTCACCTCCAAACTCCAGCTGGCCTCTCTGGCTCCATTTAGCAATATCTAAGCTCTTGTCACTGCCAGCTAAAGGGAATTTTCCAGAGTTTTATTGGGAAATCTCACTTTTTCATTGGTTCTCCACACCACCTGTACTGTGGGTTCCTCTGTTCTGTTCCTGTCTGAATCTGTCATTTATTATGGTTTCTAGAATTTTCCTACAAATGTGATCTCTAAAAGTTAGCTTAAAACATGTGTAGAGTTAAAGGGTATGGTTTACACCATCTGCATTTATGTCAATGAAGAGGAAACATGTTCATGCATCACCATTTTGTATTTTACATTACCTTGGTGTTCTATATATGTATTGATGGTGGTCTTGTATAATAATAAATTTTTGAAAAATCACATACTTGTATTTGTCTCAAAAAATGGAATGTTCCCTCAATTATCATATTTTTTGTGAGTTACATGCATGTACTATTAATCTTAATATTAAATAGTATCATTTTTAGACAAATAAATTTAAATATAATATATAGAATAGATTTTGCATATAATCTGAATTGCATGTACCACCAGGTGTCATAAAGGGTCTTAGAAACTTATTGATGCAGGCTTTCCATTGAGCAATCCACCTGACAGTAGAGCTAGCTCTGTCCTTTGGACACTCTAGATATTTTCAGACCCTTTTTAGATAATTCAAGAAATAAGTCTGAATGAATGCACACAAAGTATTATTTTCAATTACTAAATAAGTTACCACTTAAATAACATTATGTCGCAGCCAACATGCAAAGGAAATGGGTGAAATACTCCTACTAGTCAAAGTAATCCTCACTAATTCAACAAAATTTGATTTGTACCTGCAAGGTGCTCGACAGAGATACAAATGACAGACCAGTAAAAAGGTGGACCTGTCTGAGGTCACAGATTGTAGTCTCCTACACAGACCAACAATTATCAAGCCAGTAGAGTAAAGCGTGATGAGAGCCACAATACAAAAAGTACAGCACGTTATGTGAGTACTTAATTTTAGAAACATTTTGTAAAGATTCAGGCTCTTATGACTGGGCTTGAGATCACACCATAGATAGAAACTTGAAAAGCATCTGTTTTCTTTCTTAGCCCTGAGAATCACGTCATAACTCGTTTGTTCCCTCTACATTATTTGAAATCCTAGATGGCCACTAAAAACAGTTCATGAAAAATTAAAACTTATTAAAAATGTTAGTGATGATTTACAAACAAAGCTGGGTACGGATAGTTGCAAGTCAATACAATTTTGAAAGGACATCTGCTGTGATGGATGGGTTCACTCAAAGTGCAGATTATTGGAGATTTGGTAAATCATACAAATATATCAGAGTTCTCTGAAATCAAGACAGAGTGAGAACACACAACTAAAAATAGGCACTAGATGATATATGAACCAAATATACTTTTAAAAGTGTATGTAGCAGTTTAAATGTAATTGGTGTAACATAAACCTGCGCAAACTTAAAAAGCATACAAGGTTATCAGGATTAGAGACTCATTAAACTACAGGTTCTATTTTAAGTAAAACAATCCAGTAAGTACCATTTTGCAATGAAGTGAAATGACCCATTTCCTTTTTCTTAGTCTTAACACAGGAAAGTTAAGGTAGCAGGGGGTAATGCATACACATACTCTAAGAGGTATGTAGTGATGTGTTTGGGAATTTACCAAGTTGGAGTAAAAATAGAGCTCACCTTCCTGGCACAGAGATTTACCTAAGTGCATATAATTGAAAAATTTAGATAGATTATATAGAATACACATATTTGTATAACATGTTGTGATTGGATATATGACTGCATGGATATATAACTACTATTTATGTCTGTGGTTGGCCATGTCTGGCTGTGGCCTTTTCTTCGGGGTAAGTGATCACAGCCTATTTGGGTATATTTCAAGAGATCTAAAACAACTGTTACTACGTAGGAGCACTCAATCAGACACAGAAGCCTAGGTCTGAGGATCCCTCTTACACTAAATTGATGGCTGTGGACAAGGCCCTGAGCCTCTGGACTATTGGTCACAGTGTCCAAATCCCTAAAATGGGATCTCTGAGGCCCTTCCTACTCTCACTTTCTGTGTTCCTGTGTGGCTTCTGGTGTTTATTGAGTCTCAAAAGCACAAGAAATCTACCTTCCTGACAAAAGTTGTTGAGTACCCCAATGTACTAATGAACTATGTTTATTCACAGCCAGCACATGTTGAAGGCATTTATAAGGTTGGTGGCAACTGAGAACAGTGGACCAGGGTCACCAAGGGATACATGTATATAAGTATCTACACTCAATATTGTCTTTTATTAATCTTCTAATATTTATTATTAGTCCATTTATTCATAAAATCATCTCATCCCAGACTGTAAACCTTACACTGTAAGAATTATACTCTATTCTGCCATCCAGACAGCAAGTTCTCAGCAACTTCTTAATTAGCCACTAAGCCAGCTTTAAAAATAATCAAGCAATTGGCACCTAGAGTATTTCCCTGCTTTACTTCAGACAAAACTCTGAGGTATATTTCTTAAATATAAAATAAGCAGTTAAATAATATTTCTCACTTTTATTCTGACCCACAGTAGTTCCTGGAGAAAAAAGGTAAAGAAAAGAAAAAGAGTGAAACATTTCATTTCAAAACAAGGGTGGGCAGTACTCTCTCATTTTATTAATACAAACCCGTAGCTGTCATTTTCATGTTAAACATTTATTAGCAGTAAATTGGTACATAAATTATTGCTAAGGAAATGTTTCATGAGGAAAATAGCCTTTAAAATAAATCTTGTGTAGTGTATAAGAATATATGCATAAGGAGATGGAAAGCATCTCCCAGAGGAGAAACTTGTCTGAGCTCTTAGGTATGAATATAAAAAATCTCCCCTCATTTCACCTCTTTCCTCAGGGCCAGACTGTTCCATGAACTGGGCCCATTCCAACCTGAATATACTTAATATGAATGAACATTATAGCAAATGTTAACAAGGCCAAATTCTGCTACCACAAAAATTTTAAAACAAATAATCACCGTAAGGAAAATAGTCATAAACCCTGGCTTATGGTCCATGCTTGGTTGAGTTTTTAAAATATGCTTCTCAAAATAATTCCACACCATTTTATCAAGTTCTTAACACTCATTACTCCAGTGGCTTTTAAGTTTTTACTCTTCCAGTAAAAAATATATTTTACATCATGGCCAAATATATGTATGTATATACATATACGCATGCACATGAACATATACATATATATGTAGAGTTATATATATGAACTTTATATATTTATATCTATATATATGAAATTATAAAGCAGAAAAATGTTTTATAAAACATACCTACCCTTACTGCATGCTATATACGATATTTTATATTCTATTCTATTTTCCTTTAAAAAAGGCTGTTTGAGTCCAGTTAAATGACTTTGCAACTCAGCACTATATCATAAGCCAATGCACATTAGAAAACAAAGAGGGACAAAATATTTTCCCCAAGAACATGGAGTAAGAGCAAATGAAGAGGAAAAAAGAAATGGGGTAGAGAGAAAGAAAAGAAAAAAAGGGCTGAACATTCAATATTCAGGACAGTCATAGAGCACTTTGGAAATGGATATGGCCAAAGAGAAGAAAAGATCATCAGCTAAAAAAAAAGAGAAAAAATTACAGAAAATTGATCTTTAGGGTTTAAAAAATTCAAACAACCTTTCCCCCCAGATATATGAAAACGAACAACTTCAAAGATTAACCATTACATTTAGTTGATGCATAAACTATGTACAAACCACAGGCCAGCTGGAAATCAAGATACCCTTGTGATTTTTTATTCCTTCTCTGAATTCATTTTCTGCGCTTTCCTTTCATGCATGCCTCTCCAGCTGCATTGGCTTCCATGATGTTCTTAGAAGCTTCAGATATGATCTCAAGTCATGTCCTTTATATTGGGCTCTTCTATTTGCTAGAAATGCTTTGACACACTCCCCCTAATACACCAAGATACTTCTAATGGCTTGTCTCTCGGTTCCTTCAATGGTCTTATCTGTTCAAACTACTAAAATTAGAATACCTTTCCTAATCTCTATACCTCTTTCCTGGTTATAGTTGGTACTGGAGCAGTTGGTACTCAATATTCACTTGTCGAATAAATCAATATTAAATTTCACTTTGTACTGAACACTTGAAACTTTTAAATTTGTACCTAATCTACAGATTGATAATCTCTAAATTCCCTATTGGTTCTAAAATTGTATGCCTCTAATGTGAACATGTGCTCAGTCTGCTTGATGATCACTTTCCTGATTCATTGTAGCCAAGTTAGTTCTTGCCCTCCTCTTTCCTCTTTTCTCCTAGAGCTCTCCATTCTTGGTTATAATATTAACATTAATCATATTTTACCACAAACTAGACCAAGAGTTAATCAAGGGTAAGGTGTGTTTTTATGTTTCTTCACATCGTCACTGTAATATACAATGGTGTCTAACACTCGTAGTGTTGAGTTTTCAACAAATACTGATTCAGTGGGTGAGACTTTGATGAAACAATGCTTTAGGGGCCAGAAGAGAGAGAATGTTTCTTTGTTTATTTTACTTTTTCCCCAAATTAATACAGCCTTTCTTGCATCTTTAAAATATTACAAATAAGTCTGAAAAATCATCTGTCACCTTGCTGTTTCTGTAGCTGGACAACTTAGATCTTATTCATCAACCTGTGAACTGTTCCTTTTTCAGAAACACAGATACTTTCCAAAAGCTTTCTGATATCCTTGATTTTAACTGTTGTGGCTTGCTGAATCAAAGCAGCTGAATGTGATACAAGTTCAATGTCATCTCCTTTAAGAATTAACCCCTCTTTCGGGGCTTGATATACAAAACAAGCAACACTTGGCCTCATCTGAACCCTGCATATGTACTTTTCACCCAAGAAATTTCGGATTTCAACAAGAGAACCATTCCCCTGGATAACAACGTTGATGGGGAAGTGAGCATACACAGACCTCATCTTGCAACAGAAGCCCCATGTAACACCCTTGACCATGATCTGTATATGACTACAGATAGTGCACACGGTAGCCGGTTCTTTTCTATTTCCCCACCATTTGTCAACTTGGAGCCTCTTCTTTTTCTTTCCAGGAAGACTGAGTTCTACATTGATGTGATTGAAGTCCCTTCCCAGGGTTCCTCTGGGGCACTTCACAATAACAGTGCATCCCTTCAGAATGATGTGGACATTTTCTGGAATGTCGACAGTCTGATTGCTGAGAATCGTCTTTATTCTTGTAGTAGATGCGGAAAAGAGAGAGCATCTTTCGTCATCATGTTGTTGTAGCCCATCTCTGTTTATTTATTTTTTTAACATCTACCTGAAGAGCATAAGTGCGAATATCTCTATAGTAGGTCATTGAGAAACTATGTTAGATTTCCACTATTCTCCAGTCTTGAAACCCAAGCAACCAAGCAGCATATTTTTTTCTTCTCTAGTATGTTTTCCTTTGGAGGAATTTAAAAGTCATCACATCCTCTACTGGACTGTTAGGAAATTAGAAGTATCATTTAAAAGGACAGAAGCATATCTAAGTCTTAACAGATAAGTGAGAACTAATTCTAAAGATTTCAAGAAATAGATATTGCCTGAAACCCATATTTTTTTAGTTTATTTCAATAATTTTTTTGAAAAGAAACAAACTAGGAGATACCTATCACTGAGCATCCTTTTAATTGTTTACTCTAACTAACAATATTTTAAGAAATAAAGGGAAAGACATTACTTTGTAGGATAAAATAAACTTTAAAGGATTTTGGTCTAATCTTAAACAGTAAGATTTCTGTATTTAGTTTTATTGTACATCTACAAGATAAATTCATACTTCAGTAGTTATTGCAATACAAAATATCATTATTTTTTTCAAAAGAATGAAGTTCAAATATGTTTAGTTTGAGTTTAATCATTCCTTTCCTAAAACTTACCTGTTGTGCATATGGAATAAACTAAACTTATTTGCAGTTGGATTTTCTCCTCTTTGAAAATATCTCACCTTCATTGAAGCAAAATTCAGAGTTCTCTTTAGTTCATGTTTTTTTTAACTTTTCATAACTAAAAGTACTGATTCACCCCAATCGTGTGTTCCAGATATATTCAAAAGGTATAAAATCAATTATAATACTAATAGTACTCACAATCTAAACATGTGCTTAAGTTAAAGGAAGATCTTACAAGAATTTATTTGGAATTTGCATTCAAAGGCAAAATAAAGTTGAGGGTTAGGGATTTTTCTGATAGAAGTTTGTCTTTACATTGAAAATAGTCATTATTTTTGAGAAATAATTTATGTTTTTTATCACAACTGAGGAAGGATGAAATAAAAAACCTTATTTCAAAATGTCTTCTTCAGGGCACCTGGGTGGCTCAGCTGGTTGGGCGTCCAGCATGGCTCAGGTCATGATTTCATGGTTCGTGAGTTTGAGCCCTGCAGCAGGCTCTGTACTGACAGCCCAGAGCCTGGAGCCTGCTTCAGATTCTGTGTCTCCTTTCTCTGCCCCTGCCCCACTCACACTGAGAAA